CAGACTTTGAGTTGTTTTTGTTTTTGACACTAGTAATGAATTACATAGGCCATTTTTCTGCCAGAATTGAACAAAGTTTTTGAGCATTATATTTATAATTTCAGTTATGAATGGTAAAATTTTAGATACTTTTTCCCCCCAAAAGAACCCTTCTGGTGGTAATGTCTTGCAGCTTTCCAATGAAAGTACAGTGTACCTCCATTTCATATTGTTCACACAAACTACTGATATAGTAGTAAATTTTACACAATCAGCTTAATAATGTCCTAAAATAGATTAACAATCCCAGCATAAAGTTTCTTGTAGTTTTTTTTTTTTTTGTGGGGGGGGGGGGGGGGGTCATTCAAATGTATTGTATTTGTTCTATTAGTAAGACTTGCTACATGACAAACATCTGACTGTAATAGGCAAAATAAGTTGTATTTTGATTAACCAGTATACAATAGATACATTTTTTGTTTATCTACATATATTCCCCACGAAACTAAAATGCCATACAGATGGTTTAATATATATACTGTAAAATACTTATAAAATACGGGGGAATAATTCAGTGAAAATAAAATCCAGCAAAAGAATTCGCTGAAGGAATAATTCAGTGCAAATAAAATCCAGCGAATATACCTTTTTTCCTATATTTTACATTCAACTCTTCAAAACTCAGTAAAAATAAATTCCATGCAAAACGCCAAAAAAGTTATTTCAGTGAAAATTAATTCCAGCGAAAATAAAGTATTTTACAGTATATATAAGTCCGGTAATAATAATAATTAACATGATAAATTATCTCTTTCCGCATTATTTGGTGACGTAATAAACATGTGGAAACTTGCATATAAATATTAAGAACTGGTAGGATGTAATCATCATGAATTGAAAATAGTGACATAATTTTATGTCAAACATTGAGAAATTAAGTTAGTTGGCAAGCATTTAAATAGATATTTGGATTCTCTTGACTTTTGCTGTATGGTTATCTTTTATACTTCTGTTCTCATAACCCAGATACAAAAATAAGGTCAAACGCAGAGTATTGTGATTTTTTAGTTTGATTTTTGGCTCCATTGGTAAAAAGGTCGCATCATAATTTTGTTAAGTAACATATGGTAAAAAAAAAATCGAACAATTATGTTGTTAATATTAATATAAGATAGATATATTTATGATTGTCACAAATTATTAGTAAATTCTGATAAATACTATTTATTTTTATGAAATAAAAATAGTTCCAAAAGTGCTAATTTTTGCATTTTGTTAGACAGTTTTGAATAACAAATTTCTTGCCCTAATTTAATAGTATATTGACCTTTAAATAAGTGACCAATTTAATAATATTTAAAGGGGTACTGGCTTGACACTCCCCACAACCAGATACATCTGCATTTTTGTAGGTAGACTTCTCACTAGAATTATGTTAATTTTCTGAAAATGGAAATGAAATCCACAGATTATGCTATAATTGAAATTCAAATGCGAGGAGAGACTGCCCTCAAGTGGCAAGTGAATTAAAAAGCTATTTTTTCACTGGATTTCATTTTTGCTGTTTAATTTTTTTCAGTGATAAATGCCAAAATAATGTAGTAATTGTATAGAAATAATGAAGTCTTGTTCACTATATGATTAAAATTAGTATTTATGTATAGCGCCCTCATTACCCTTTCATAAAACTCATTGTGAAATGAAACTCACAGTAAACCAGTCTGTGCTTGCACTAATTCTTTGTCAGTTGTCAGTGGTAAATCACTTTTACAAAGATGTGATCTTTTTCACAAAGGGCCCTAAAACAAATGTCAAACCATGAGTTTGTGTCACATGGTCATCATTAGAAAACAACAGGTGCAGAAAACGCAACTTGTTTTCGTAAATGTGCTTTGAAAATGTTTTGAACATGTGTTAAATTTTGATGTGTTTTTCTGATAAAATAATAGGTGTTTGTGTTTTAGCTGAATCTTTAAAGTTAGCATAATTTTTCATTTTCTTGCTGTTTGCTAATTAATTGGCTAAAAAAAGGGAGTACTAGTAATTAGCTAATTCAAACATTTACTTCCGTTAGAAACCCGGCCTGCAAATATAAAATTATTTTGTGAATTCTTTTTTATTTTTCTGGAAACAGAAAATAAAGAATTTTTGTGTGACTCGTACTTCGAAGTTCAGTTGCTTGTGTCCGTATTTCGAAAAAATGTATTCTTTAGGAAGTGTGTATGTTAATTATTGCATTTATATTCAAGAGAAATGCATCACATCTGGTCAGTTGGTTAATTTTTGTACAAACCTCTACATTGTATACATAGACCATGTCAGTATATGCTTTGACACATGGTGACCTCATTTAAATGTCACTTTGAAGTTTATGAACTTTTTTTGACTACACACATGTAATCAATTGCAAATTATTTGTTTTTATGCAATGCCTGGGTAGCATAATATGACCTTTTTATTATTTTCCAAGTTTTGTATTTACTTCTAATGATAATATAAAAATTCTATCAATTGTTTTTATTTTTAGAAAATGTTACCATATTTAGTAATTCTTTGTGCTTTGTGACTTAGTGTTCATTATTATTTTTATTATAGGCTGGGTGGAAAGAAAACCATGCAACTTTTATGAATGAATTGAAAAATTTACAAGCGATCAGTTTGTCCGGTCTTGGACCAGCTCTGAAACAGACACTAGACTTGTTGAATGTCAATAGATTACACTCTGGTATTGACAACTATGGACAGGTAGGTCTAGTGGGATTGCTCCATAATAAAGAAAATACTATCATTGCTCAAACAGAGGCATTGAAAATAATCACCTTGAAGCCTAGATGCCCTTAGAAAAATACATATTTTCTCGTACAAATTTTACTCAAAAAAAGAAAATTCAACCAATTCACTCCCCATGTTTTGAAGCATGGTAACAAACCCAAATCACTGTTTCCGTGGAAACAATTGTGGATACCCTTAGGGTTAAGGGAAGTATCGATAATGATTATGGAATTGTGCACTACAATTTATTTTTAGTTCTTGAATGGCTGTATTCTCCAAAAAAAAATCCATTCCATAATCAGTAAGATGGTGATAGGTGGCAGCGATAGAAAGAGATAAAAAAAACTGTTTTACTATTCCTAGATAGAAATAATCATAATGATGAAATCTCATCAAAATCACCATGAATCCTTCACTGTTATAACCTTTTTCTGTGACTTGCATATTGGAACAGTTAACGGTATACCAATTACACATCCACCCTCTGCCTGAAAGTAGTTCCTCTTGTTAATATTCAATACAGTAGGTATGCATGTATGTATGTACGTACGTACTCAATCGACCACCCTGTTTCTGTTTGGAATCATAAAAGTATGAATTCGTAAGAACATGTGAATGAACCTTTATTTTGCAAGTTATCAAAATTGCATTGAATTTGTCATGTATGTTCTTCACAGCAATATATTTTTATATAGCTCCCAACTAATTGTTTTTCCATTTTCTTTTTTCCAAGCTCTACAAATTTCATCATTTTGTATTTATAATGCTTGTCAAAATGGTGATGAATATAAAATATACTTTCCATGGAAACAACTTCAGTGACTCATTGTTTTGCTAATTTTCTGATGTATTTGTCTCAAAAAATGAGCGATAAAATTGTTGAAAAAAGGTGCTGTCGAGAACTTTTGTATAAATTATTTTATGATATTTGCAACTGTTTATGCTTCCTCAAATAAATTGACAATAAAAGGTTATATGAATAAAAATATGGATTATATTGAATATTTATAGCAGTTTAATTCCCAATATTGCTCTGAAATGGGCTATAAACCATAATTTGGGATTCATAGCATTTTCAAAAATTACATGATAAAATAGTTTTCTACATTAAAATATGGATGACACAATCAACCCAAGCATAGTTTGAACCAAAGTTCATACTTTTATGGTGTAATAATTTTTTTCTGCGGCATATAGTTAATTTAGCAATAACTCGTCAGACCTGATATTATTATAGATAAATTAAACATACTGAATTTTGTTTTTCCAGGGACGTAATCCATTTTTCCTGGAACCTGCCATGATAATCACGTTAACAGATGGTAATAAACTGAGCAGTTCAACAGGGACACAAGAAGAGGTAAGAAGCAAATAATCATTACACATTACATTATTGGGTATTTTTTTTTTTTTAATAATCTGTCACATTTGATTTATTTTAACTTGTTTGGTCAAATTTTATCAAAGTTCCTTACTTGCGAAATACAATCAAATTTGATCCTCTTAATTATTTTGTTCTGCAAATTAGTTTCAGCCCATAAAGTTTTGTCTGTCTAGTAGTGACTGTCAGCTCCCACCTACTCATCCGTCTGCTGAAGTGTTCTTCTTTGTTTACAAAATGGTTTTTGTGTTCCTTGGGTCCCGACAGAAGAGTAGTAGCCCAACCTTGATTTGCTAAAATTATCTGAAGATTTGAGATATAAATAATGACCATAGCTCTAAAATGTATATCAATCAACAGGCTGCATGTTGAATCTACTAATAAAGTAAAAGAAGTCATAATAAAATAATTTGGATTGTCAAAATGAATGGAGTACTATACTAAGTGACGTTTTCGTACTTGTACATTGCATGTGAAACTGTACTATGTCCTAGCAATCAAATAAAGCCATAGTCGATATGGTATACATGCTCAGATCTCCAGCAAAAGTGGTTGCCCATTCTCTGGGATAAAAATAGATATTATGAAATTAAATTACCATTACATCACTGATGTATCACATCTCAAAAGTTGTAATTATATATATGAAAAGTATTTCAATTAGAATACCGGGGTAGCGCATATAGTGTAATGTACATTATGGATGGACACAGCTGATGAGTAAAATAAATTGCAAATTCTTTATATTTTGATGAACAAAAAGGTCCATCAAATAAATAACAATGGGTAACTGCATGACTTTAGAAATTTCCCCTGAACATTCGGCTTTTCTCTAGCATTAATTTTTAGTTGAAAATTGGTTAAAATACATGCAATGTGTGGGTTGATTCATAAATGAGACTTGTGTCGCTTTTTCTGCAGGCTTTCAAATATCCAGCCACAACTATTAATTTTGCAAAACTTCAGATTAATTAATTCCTGTATCAAAAGTGTCTAAGCCAGAGCCAATCCTCAAGATCTCATTCAACCCATATAACGATATGCCAACAAATATTGTTTACTTTCTTCTCTCAGCTTCATCTTCCTATGCATTCCTCCCATCCCGGAAGTGAACTGACAAAGGAACCATTCCGGTGGGATCAGAGATTGTTTTCCATTGTCTTGCGGATGCCATCCACTCCCAATCCGTACATTGACCGGAATCCAGCCCATCCTTTGCCGCCAGCGGAGGATTGTCCAATTAACGCCATGTGTGATGTTACAGGCGGTAAGTTACACAACTCCTAACAACCTTTTCACTTCAAAGGTTCAAATTTTGATCTACAACATTTTGTTCATTTTGTTAGTGATATCGGCGTTAATATTGCTAATATTGATCAGTTTCTTTCCCATATTATATCCACACATAGATGTTGTATACCTTTACTATCTACATCACAGCATTCTAACCTAAATTATATCTATACCGTAGGTCGTTCTTACATCGTGAATTCTATCAAGCAGCTTCACCAGTGTTTAGAGTCGTTAACTCAAAAAGTTCTGAGTGGTGTTGTACTTAATTTTGAACTTTACGGTCCAGAACCGATGCCGGTGAGCGTTGAAGGTATGTATGTTTTTATGCAAGCCTTTGATGTCATCTTGTTGTCAGTTTGACATATTGAGCAGCATATGTCAACATTGTTTATTTTCCTATGACAGCAATTTGAATTGCCATGGTGTACTAGAATTAGCAAATGTTGTTAAAAATTATTGATGTTGCGTTTGATACATGTATTCTGTCATTGTTTAGTTATGGAAAAGAAACTATTCTGGTTTTGATGTGGGTGGTTGGGTAGGGTGGTTTTGTGTGGGTGGGTATACATATTTTATTCAATCAATGAAGAATAGTTTTTAAAGCTTTCAGCAAAATATAAGTCCCTGCTTCTCTTCCCCTTGCCTGTCCCCCTTTCTTCCTCCTATCCTCCCATTTTCCTCCCCTCTCCTCTCCTTACTCCTTCCCCCTCCTCTCCTTACTCTTCCCCTCTCCTCTCCTTACTCATTCCCCCTCCTCTCCTTACTCCTCCCCTCCCCTCTCCTCTCCTTACTCCTTCCCACTCCTCTCCTTACTCCTCCCCTCTCCTTACTCCTCCCCTCTCCTCTCCTTACTCCTTCCCCCTCCTCTCCTTACTCCTCCCCTCTCCTCTCCTTACTCCTTCCCACTCCTCTCCTTACTCCTCTCCTCTCCTTACTCCTCCCCTCTCCTCTTCTTACTCCTCCCCTCTCCTATTTTTACTCCTTCCCCTCCTCTTCTTACTCCTTCCCCCTCCTCTCCTTACTCCTCCCCCTCTCCTCCTCTTACTCCTCTCCCTCTCTGCCCCTATCTTCCCCTCTCCTCTCCCCCTCTATTTCTTCCCCCTCTCCTCTCCTTACTCCTTCCTCTCTCGGCCCCCATCCTCCCCCTCGGCCTCCCCTCTCCTCCCTGCATTTTTATGAGAAACATGGATGTACAATTTATCTTGTTTCAGTTCAGATTTATTCCTCTTCCAATGCTTGCTGATACCCGTCCCCTTTGGTTACCAGTCTAACGATTCAGTGGTTTTTATGTTTTCAGCAAATAAACCACTTTTACTTAGCAATAACATTGACCGGAAGTCTCCAGTTGTCATAGATACAGAAAGACAGACTAATGGTCCATTAATTGAGAATAACAATGTTGATAATAGCAGAGGTAAAGAAGAAAAAGGTGAGGCATATAATTGTTACAATTGGTGAACGATATAATGTTGAAATAGCGTTGAACTGTGCTTGAAAGAGCTAAAAATCAGACACTACACTCTTTATGTTCTTGTGACCATCTCTATTCCCTGTGTCATCAGAAACAATTTTAAAACATTTTGATTTGATTTCATACATTTGGACTAAAATTAAAATCATAGGAATTTCAAAATGTCTGATAATGAAAAAAATAAAATGAATTGTTCTTTTTAAGCTTTCTATTGTCATACTAACAATAATGGGCTAACAATTGTGTATTGTTATTTACTTACCGTGGTATATGAATTTGATGTGTACTGACTACTTTTTAATATTTAACTGAATTGACAAGTGTTAGCAAATTAGCACCAAAACCATTTTGTTGTCACAGTTTTCAAAATCAACCTGTGTATACACAGTTTCATTCAATTTTTTTTCAAAAATAGACAATGGTAAATTTGATTCAAAATGAATGAATAAATGGAAAGATATACAAAAGTTGCTTCAACATTTTGACAAGAAAATTATAGTGTTGTATTTAATTTTGTTTAACTACAGATAAAAACTCACTGCTGAATCACCTTGGGCCTGGAGTGCCTGGCAATAATTTACGATCCATATCACCGACATGCATGTCCAGTACAGCGTGGCATTGCTGCCACAAGATTATTTACGTTAGGCCAAACCCCAAAACTGGTGTTCCCATGGGTCATTGGCCGATACCAGAGTCATTTTGGCCAGATTCTACCGCACCAACGCTGGTAAGTAGTACCTGGCAGCTGTAGTGTGATCCCATAGGCTTGTTCCTACACTAATATTCAGAAAATGCCTGTTTTCAGTTATTGCTTTAAAATCAAAAAACATTTTTTTGATTGATCAGTAATGTTAAACGACAAATGTTCCCTAGGATTTGATGTTGCATGGATACACATGTATTCATATTTTAAACTCTTGGTTTTGTGAAGGAGACTGCATATTCTCTGATTGAATTTGCTTACAATGTTATTCACTGTGTTTCGATTTAGCACACGTAGGTATCATCATAATACAGCTAATAATCAAGTCTTTTATATTATAGTAACTATGTTTTTAAGCCCAAATTGCTGTTCTTTACCATAGTCTCAAATTTAAAAATAACCTTAATTCTGATATTTACCGTGTCTGGATATGTTTAGTGGCCATCATGATTTGATAGCGTGTGAGGTGTACTTCTTATTTGCATATAATTTTTTTTTAATCTTCTAACATTTATTTATTAATATTGAGTGATTGTTACCCAAAACAAACCCATAAGTTTTTGATTAGTGACTACTTGTGTTTCATTGTAAAATTAATATTGATCACATGCACTTTTGTATAAAGAAGAATTTATTCAAAATAGTTTGTATTCTAATTTACATACATGTATTTTTTTTCTGCAGCCTCCAAGAGATGCTCATCCAGTTGTTAGATTTGTGTGTTCAGACTGCGAGCCGATGATATTCGATAATTTACCATTCGACAAATATGAACTAGAACCGTCGCCGCTGACACAGTTTATTTTAGAAAGAAAATCACCGCAATTATGTTGGCAGGTAATTAAGGTCATTGTGATTTAACCGTTGGTTAGGAATTTATACATCTGAACATGAATTAAAATTAGGTGGGGAAGGTGTAGTTCAGTGCTTAGCGTGTACGCCTTGCATCAGGGAGTTTGGGATTTGACTCCCTTTCACTGAATGCGAAATAGACTGTATAAATTACTGTAAAATACTTTATTTTCGCTTGGAATTCATTTTCGCTGAAGGAATGATTCAGTGAAAATAAAATCTAGTGAATATACATTTTTCCCATATTTTACAATCAACTCCAGTAAAAAAAAAATCAGTAAAAATAAATTCCATACAAAACACCCAAAAAGTTTTTTCAGCCCAAATTTATTCCAGGTAAAATAAAGTGTTTTACAGTAGAGTAAAATGTACCCATACAACCAAACAAGCAGTATTAGTTTTTAAGGAGAATGTTGTTCTATCAGATGAGGACAATAAACACTGTCTGTGTCATGTGTTGTCTCTTTTTTCTCATGTACATTAAAAATTGTGGTCATCGTTATCACAAAGAATATCTGTTAACTTCAGGATGATTGGCTCCTTTCAATAAAATAAAAAATAACAGCTCATGTTTTTGAAAATCATCTGCATTATCTCACTGCACAGCTATGTTTTTTTTCTCTACAACACTATCCTGTGAGACAAATCTGTCAATTTCTGTTTGTCAGAATCAAACAACTTCATGTATAATATATAACACAATGTAATTCTCTGTGATGTCCTACATAATTAACACTAATTGTGATTTTAGAATCGCCTATTTACTACAGTTCCCAGTGCAGATACTGTAAAATACTTTATTTTAGCTGGACTTAATTTCCGCTGAACACACTTTTGGGGTGTTTTTTATGGAATTTATTTACACTGATTTTTCACGAGTTGAATGTAAAATATAGGAAAAAAGGTATATTCGCTGGATTTTATTTTCACTAATTCATTCCTTCAGCGAAAATAGCAAAAATTAATTCCAAACGAAAATAAAGTATTTTACAGTATACTACAAAATGTAAATATCATTGACCTTTTCACCACCTTTGTAACCTTCCGCAAAGTAGTCCTTTATATGTTATTGAGTATTACTTTTTAATAATTACTTAAAAATGTAATGTTTAATTTTAATATTGAATTTACTGCAAATTGAACCAAAACATTTGCAAGACTAAATGTGACTCATTGTGACTTTACCATTGATGAGATAAATGTTTCATCTTCCACACTCATGCTTCACCAGGTTTAATGTATTTTTTTCTTGATTGCAGGTTTTTGTAAGCAATAGTTGTAAGTACTCAGACCTAGGCTATCCCTTTGGTTATCTCAAAGCCAGCGTCAGCTTAACCTGTGTGAATCTATTTGTATTGCCGTATAATTACCCTATGTTGATTCCATTACTAGGTGAGTAAACGCTGATTATAACATGCAACCCATGAAAAAGATGATTGCGATGGTAAAAATAACCATAGTAGTGCCTCTATGGTAGGAATATGATCGCACAGCCCTGTCACCTCGCAGGTTAATAGCCAGAAAGTGTCTAACTTACAGGTAGACAGGTGGCTGGCGAAAAATCCTGTCAACTAATTCCAAATATGGGCACAGTACACTGTATGGTTTGTACTTTTAAATTGCACATGAAAACAAGTCGCTCAGAAGAGACGACTATGATATTCAATACTATCAACAAACTATTTATAAAAAATACTTTTCAATTTGTTTTTGTGAGAAAGCAATTAAAAGTTGAGTTCCTTTATGTATGTGAAAAAAGAACAGCAGTCATTTTATTCATGTACCTTAGAAAGTGATCTCTTTCTAAGGTCTGTGGTTCATTTTACTTATCATTAACATAATTCACATGCTGTATTCGCTCTATTGGTAGCACATGCACTTATGTAAATTTAGAAGTGTGTCCATGGTCAAAATAATTTGAATGTTTTAATGATCCAGCTTTCAATAAATATTTTTGTCAGCATATGTGCACTTCTAATAAAGCAAATATGGTATTGCTGCTTACATTCATATCAAAATTAAAAGCCAGATATAAAAACAAATGTTTCGCAGTTTTTCAGTGAATTTTGATTCTTGTGTTTTTTTGCAGATGAACTTTTTAAGGTGCATAAGTTGAAGCCAAGTGCCAAGTGGAGACAGACGTTTGATAACTACCTCAAAACCGTACCAAGCTACTATGCAGGGGTGAGTGATTTGACAATGCATGTAACCATACCTCAATTCTGTTTTGGCTAGACTGAATAAAAATCAAATGTTTGGAGCCAGCTCAGGGCTCTAGAATATCATTTTCATATCATATCATGGAATATTGATTTTTTATCAATATCAGTGTTATAAGCTTTTGATTTGAAAATCTAATTTAGAAAGTTGGTGACAGGATTGTCACTTTAATATTTAGTCCCTGTTCGGACGAAGTCCGAAAACTTATAATTTGGTCTTCGTGTGTCCGTCCGGAGTCATATCTCAGAATCCCTTGGACCGATTTCATTCATTCTTTGCATGTGCCGAGTACTTTATGTGGGACATATGCACATGCAGTGCTTTAGCGATTCGATTCAAAATGGCCGACTGGCAGCCATCTTGTTTTTTGAAAATGTTGTATTTTGGACATGCTTTGTCAGTTTTCATTCAAATTTAGTACATAGATCATACATGTTAGGATACATGTCCCGACCATCTGTGAGTTCCTGAGGCTGTCCGTCCGCGTGTCCATTCGTCCATCCGTGCGTCCGTCCGGAGTCATATCTCAGAATCCCTTGGACCGATTTCATTCATTCTTTGCATGTGCCTAGTACTTTATGTGGGACATATGCACATGCAGTGCTTTAGCGATTCGATTCAAAATGGCCGACTGGCAGCCATCTTGTTTTTTGAAAATGTTGTATTTTGGACATGCTTTGTCAGTTTTCATTCAAATTTAGTACATAGATCATACATGTTAGGATACATGTCCCGACCATCTGTGAGTTCCTGAGGCTGTCCGTCCGCGTGTCCATCCGTCCATCCGTCAGTCTGTCCAGAGTCATATTTCAGAATCCTGTGGACCGATTCCGTTCATTCTTTGCATGTGTCTAGTACCTTATGTTGGACATATGCACATGCAGTGGTTTAGCGATTTGATTCAAAATGGCCGACTGGCAGTCATCTTGATTTTTGAAAATGTTGTATTTTGGACATGCTTGGTACATAGATTATACATGTTAGGATACATGTCCATGACGATTTATTTTGCAATTGGATCAAAGATGGTCGACTGGCAGGCATCTTGTTTTTTGATGTAAATAAACAATCTTTTTGTATACGATACTTGGAACCCAAGTTTCAAGGACACGCTCGCGACAACCTCTCCGCTTTAATATGATAAGCACAAAGAGAACTTTCAAAAATTTAACAGGGACTTTGTCATTTTTAATGACTTGTTTTTTATCTGCCACCTCTCGGACTATTTTATTTGTGCCGATGTTGATGTTCTCTGCACAGTGCGTGTTTAAAATTCATGTGTTTTACAAATGCTGTATACTTGGCATCGATCACAACAATCATTGTTTTAATATGCGCCAATTTTTTGCAGTCACTTCGTACCGCACTACGGCGTATGGGGACCCCAAATTTAATACCTGATAATGTGGAAAACTGTTTGGGATACAGTGTCGTGTCACACCTTAAGAAGTTAAAACAGCAGTCTAAAATAGAAGCTGATCGGTTAGCCGCACAGATCAATAGTCTGAAACAAAAACGACCAGATGGAACAGTGAAAGTCGTACCAAGGTAAAAGTTAACATGCAATATACTCCTCTATTGACCTCCCCTCTTTCTAAAAATGTACATTTCTCATCGGCCATGTATATATTGTGCTTTGTTGAAAGGATTCTTCTTTGACCTGTAATGATTTGGGTTACTAATTTGTTGTGAATTCTAAAGTTATTATGTTGAGAATTACATACTTTTGACTTTTCCCTTGTGGCCGTTTACTTCTACTTTAAGTCTGAGGGAAAAATTTGGGTACCCAAATTATGTGTTTTGATCAATTCTCAATTCAAAATAACCAACAAAGTAGGGCTTAACACCAGGGAGAAATCTAAAGTCATTGTTTCCATGGAAACTTTTGTAATTTATTCAATCAGCAAGAGTTTGTAGTACCTAGTACTTTTAAATTTTCTGCATTTTTACTAGAAAGCATTGCTTAGTGTCAGAGAGGGTTGTTTCAAAAATGTTTTGTACTGATATTATTTATTTTTGCAACAGCAGTTGTCTTCTTGTAATGTTTTAACATAACGCAGATTAATTATTCTGGAGGAATTTTGTCTGTAATGTTTATTATTTGAAATCTAGTTTCACAAGACTTTGTCATCTAATGTCAGCTTGTTTTACACCAAGCCAAATAATATTATTTGTATGAAATGTCAAACTGTCATCAAACATGCATGTTTTGTTTTAAAGAAATATGTTAGATAAAAATATCTGCTATATTGGTACTAGACTACTGCTTGATTTCCCATAGGTAGTAACCAATCTAATGTTAGGTTGAATAACACAAGTCATAAGCATCCCACTCTTTTCCGAGAATGATAGGAACGATGCAGGAATAAAAGCTTGTTCATTTTACCAGATTTCATTATGGGGTATCAAATCAACATAATTTGGTTAAAGGTGTTGTTTTGTATTGGGGGCTCAGCAATGAAAAAAAAAAAGATTTAACAACAAAAGAATGCTGTTTGTAATTGTGTTATTATTACATGATATGTGGTGTTTGAACTTTGTACAGAACTCACCAACAATATCTTGTGCATAATTTGAGCTATTAAAGAAACAAACATTACATACTATGATTAACTTTGCATATTAGCTGAATTCTATTTTTTATTGTATTTATTCAGTAAAATAAACAACAAAAAACCACCCTCAGTTATTAAAGATTTCATTTGAAAATTAACATAAATAATCAATGCATGCATGACTTGTATTGCACTCAGCCCCTAATAACCTTTGACCTGACCCATATTTTATGGTTTTATAACCTGTAATTGATATGAATCTTGTCAATTGTCTCTTTTGTTCCAGTGCATGTTGCTTCCAAACACGTACATAATGTCTTAATTATTTATGATGCATTACAAGTCAAATCATGTCACAGTTTTACACGGTCATTGTTTTTTGTCTCTAGCCAGTAATTCTGAATTACATTTCTTCTTTGACTTTCCACACGTTTTCACGTTAATTTTACTGCTTTCAAATTTCCATTGTTTCAAAAGTACCCAAACCTAATATTGTCGTCTGTTGTTTTGGCATTCATGTAGTAGTATGTGTTTTTCTAATTTAATTAGTGTTTTCTATATGTGTGAATGTGGTTGAAATTTGAAAAAAAAAAAATGTATGTTTTTTTTTGGAAAATGTGTAGTACCGGTAGCTCATATTCAAATGGGGGGCAAAAATTTGGCTATTTCTCAAAATTTGTGGATGATTATGCAACATATTTCTTCAAATTTTGTCCTTCAGGTCGCCTTTACCATCTCTGGCTAAGCAAAGAGACTTTCAACAATTACTGCAGAACATCACAGGAGAGACGATTACAATTAAACAAGATCTAAACAACGTTAACGAGTTTCCAAATTTCACACTCGTCACGAGTGAGAAAGATATCAGGCCACAAAGTTATCGCAATCCATTTGATATTCCACGGAAAAATCTACTTGATCAGATTGCTAGAATGCGAACTAACTTTGTTCGAACGACGGCGACTACAGATCCCAGATTTCAAGATGAAGGTACGCGTATTGTTTCAGTTTTTTCGTACATTTTTGTTGTTTCGTATACACACGTACACATGCACTTGTTCTTGTACTAGTGTTTATTTGCTTCTGTTAATGCTGTTGGACACTTACCACAGATACAAGTGAAATGCTTGATACAAGTGTAATAGATCCTTAACTTATGTTGTGTGGCAAATTTCTTGTGCCACATTTTGTGTTTGTGGACCGAGAACGCCTCCGAGTTTCATATGAAACAGTTTCTGAAACTCTAAAACAAACTACTCTTACTAACTAATTATATAATGGATGGATGGATGAATGAATGAATGAATAATACACTCATTATTGAGTTCTTCAGTATTTATGGGAATTTTGTTTTCTTTATTGATATATACTACATTATAAGAATATTATCGTTTTCAACCCCCTCAGATCAGAGTCATAGTATTCCCGTTGCTGAGATGGGAAACTACCAGGAATATTTGAAGCGTATGCCTCCAGCATTGCGGGATGCTGATCCGGCTCCGGCTAGACTACACACATTTGGAAACCCGTTTAAGTTGGACGACAAAAACAAGGTATGTATTAAGATATGGTTGTCGTCCTTGTGACCACGACGACTTTGGTATAACTTGAAATCTGTAACAAGAATATTAAGAAGCAACAGGTAGTGAGTATAACTCATTTTTATGTACCGCATAAAGCCTCAGCTTCTACTCACCCTTCGTCCATGACGAATCATATTTAGATTTGGCTACAACTAATTATGGTCCTTTGGCCACCAATGGACAAAGGGGAAATTATTGTTTGTGGAAAAAATATTATTTTATAATAAGTAGCATGATTAGTGGCTTAACAAGTATAATACTGATGAAGAAAAAACTGTATAGTATCAGTTATTTATAGCTAAAACTATTAAGGGAAGCTGAGACAGCAATCTAGTAAATCAGGAATGAAATAATACCAAATAGGTCATTTGTAAAGCCTACCATTCATAGAAGTCGCACCCATTCTTTTTGAATAACTGAAAACAAATTCATCATTTCTCATATGTGCAGAGGCTCTAGTAGAATCTCCTCTGTTGCGATATACCGTTTTAATAGAAACCCCAGCTTCTAATATAGATTTTGCAGTACTATGCAACTATATGTACATTTTGTAAATTATAATCTTTGGACAATCGCATAAAATATACTCTTTCCATGTCACAAACTTTTCTTGCATTTATCCTTTCTTTCATAATTTACCGAATCAAATTAAAGTTCCACAGTATTTTGAAATTTAAAAATCCTGTTTTCTTCAGAAAATGATGGTTGATGAAGCTGATGTAAATGAAGCAATGACGGGCCCACAAGTGCGAAATAAACGACAGAATGACACACCTCCAGGCTCACCCAGACGTCCACGTAGTTTAACGGCGTCACCACCAAGTCGAAGACCTTTGCCTAATATGCCACCAAATTCTCCCAACAATTATTTGAGGCGGAGTCCTTCACCAATGCCACACGGGAAACCTCAGTATCTGCACCCCCAACAACAACAACAACAACAACAACAACAACAGCAGCAGCAACAACAACAACAACAGCAACAACAACAAGCTATGCAACACCAACACCAGTTGAAAGGTAAATTTACTTTTAATGTTTTTGGTGGCATTTTTGCTCTTAGGATGAAAAACAGAGTTCAGAGGGCTAAATAAATACATGTTTCAATATTATTACCCATATTTCTCATGAGATATCCAAATAGTATGTCTGTAAAAATGATTTTATTCAACATATCAGTGCCATAATTAAACTACTCTGATGATGTTCAAATCTTGCTTATTTGGGAGTTTCAGGGTTGTTTCTGTTTTAACTGTGAGGGCGCTAATTGCCATATCAATCTATCTTAATCAAATGTTTTAAAAAAGAAAAAAGTATGGAAAAAAATATGCACGTTTATTTTGTATAAATATATATTATTCCCCAGAATCTCCTAATAATTTGTGACAATCAGAATCACCCATCTTGTAGCATCATACTGTTTTTTCACCATATTTCACTATATTTTCAGATATGATGAGATCTTTTCCCCATATGGTAAATGGCTTAACATTGCCATTTTCTTGGTTCTTAAGCTTTTCACCACCAGACTTTCACGCCCAAATTTTCTGCAGTTTTTCTTACATTCTTCAATATTTCTGGAAATGAACCCTAATTTTGGAGCCAACATACACAATTTGAGTAAATTTTCAGTTTTTACTCATAAAATTTAGCTATTTTTGTCCCAATCTTCTGAAGGAAAGTGTGTACTATAAACTAATCTATTTTGTGAATTTGTAATGAAAAGAGGAAACTGGTCGTAAAGATTAAGCCATTTTTCATATGCGAAAAGTAGTTCTGTAACCATGTGTTTATTTGTGAGTTTTAAAATAAAACCATAATGTATAAATGATGGAAATCAGAATAGTCTGCTGTTCTAATACCCATGACCTTAGTTTTAAAATGCATCTTTCTCATCTACAGATACTCTGAAGGAACTTAACAGGCATGTACAGGATGAGGTGGATAATGTGCGTGAAATTCTAAGCTTGACGACAAATCAACATCAGCCAAAACTAGAAAGTGTCAATCATATTGGCAACAATACAAACGACACAATTGTGAGGAATGTTACAAAAAGGCCCAGGATGGACAATGACTTTGAGCCAATCGCAGGGAATGTTACAAAGAAACTTAAACCTGAAATGGAAGCGAATAAAAATGTTGCGATACGAACTGAATTGAATGCGACAACAATGATGCGAAGGAATTTGGTGCTACGAGAAGAAATATTTAAAATTATTAGAAGGCCCGGGAAAAGTGAGTACATGTTTGTTTTCAATGCATCGATTACTGATTCTGATTGTGAAAAATGGCTTCCATCTTTGCTGATGCATGCTGGGAATATCTCAATTTCTGTTTTTATCTTACAACTGCATATGATCATGCGTCTTTTCATTTGTTTCTTGTTTTTTATTTCATAGATTACTCAAGGATTTTCGAACACTTGAATGGAGTACACGGTGATTCCAATATCAGGACTTTGTTTGTGAACGAAATTATTCGGGAAGCCGGGAGGTTTAAGCGGAAAGAACTTATTCAACATTTGAAAATGTTTCAGCAGTCCATACTGAAACCCAACAGAACATTCTCTCGTCAAAACAGTGTCTCTTCGCACCATGGTAAAAGGTAGTGTTTGCGACGCTTCACCTGATCTGTAGATGATAAATATAGTCAACTTATCTGTAGGTGGTAGATTTGATGTTGAAAACACCCCTATGATTGGAATGGTCCAATCCATGGTGATGCATGATGGGAGAATACACATTTTCAGGACAAATGGATGATCATGATAACAAAATTTATTATCTTGTTAACCTAATAATTCTTAATTTTTATTATCTAGTGACTAAATTATTATTCCAATTTTTGGAATTAGCCATTTTTTTTAATCTTCAGCTGGCAACTATTTTATTGGTAAAACGTCGCCCTCCAGTGGTCACATCAGATTTGTCAAATTTTTATGTGGAATATGCAATATCACTCCAGATGAAATCTGACTTGTGTTAATTACTTCCATGAACAATCTAGTCCTGTGTTTTGATCTAATATACATATTTTGGGATTGAATAATCCAGAGAAGCAATACTTAGGTAGGGGGAGGGGCTGCTGTTTCCCACAATTCCAAGAAAAGAAAAAAAACGTCTTTTCATAAATAATTTTGACCTTGGTTAGTAAAGGCTACAATGTTCATTACCAAGTTCACAGTCACCCTGATATATATTTTATGTATGTATGAATTTATAAAATGCAGCAGATTATCGAACTTGTTTGAAATTTGAAAGTTGTCATCCTTCAAATTTTTCAAGCTAGTTGGATCAATTATTATTGTGAAAAAAAGACTAATAATGATTCATGGATTTATCAAAATAATGGTTAATACAAAATTGCAAGTGTTTAAAAATACAAGAAAGATGAAAGGTCATCCCCTTCAATGCTTCAAGATAGGGGTTCTTATGACAAACTGAATGTGGTTAGATGGATGGTGGCAGTTTATCAGTTGAACTCCTCAATACTTAGTATAATACATACCCATGATTCCTGCTGTGTATGGTAATTTATGCCATTATCAGTTATAGATGGGTATCCAGATATCATATTTGCACTCAACTTTGCTCTCATTGTCTAGTTTCGTTTTCCATGCCACTGTACGTGAAATTTGAGAATGACTCCGAAATCCCAAATCAATCCTTACATTATGGGTGCTTAGTTTTATAAGTGACCCTCTTGTTATTGGTGGTGGTGGTGGTGCTGTATGTCACATTGAGGCTGTGCTAATTTTCATAAAATATTCAAAATGAGGCTATATAGATTTTAATTAGTGTTTGGGGCTAAATTAAATTACTACTATAAAATGACTAATTTTCACTGGGTTTAAATTTTGCTGATTTAGCATTTCAGGCATATTCAGTGGGTTTTAAATTCACGGTTTTATCATTTAGATAATGTGTCCTATGCTGAATTTTACATATTCGCTGGGTTTTAATTTAGCGCATTTTTCAGTCAGTGAAATAAGCAAAATTAAAACCCAGTGAATAATTAACCCTTTGACAGTATTATGTGTACGATTTCAACCTGTGCACTTTAACCCGAGTGGACAAATTAAATTCAGAAACGTGTTGGTTACAGCAAATGTGAAGTAATTTAATGATTAATGACATGGAATTTCTAATTACATTTTCTTGAAGACGTAAACAATTTTAGTCCCACTATCATGAATGAATCCAACTATTAAGCTCTAAATGTGTATCTCTGATGACATGGGGACTCTGGTACTGCTAATACTGCCCTCTCTAGGTGGAAAAAATAAACTGTTTGTTTTCAGGCCATTTGTCCAGTTGCATTACCGTGGATCAATAGGGGGAGTTATTTCACTTGTGTGTGATGTCAAACACTGCCAACACTGGCTTTGTGTCTAATGTATATATTTATATATATTGCTAAAATGTGAATTTTTTGTTTGTCTACTTTGATTTTTTTTTTTTTTTGAAACTTGTACAATAAATACATGTGACATCGTCAGTTTTTGAATGTGATGTTGGTTTTTTCTAAAAATCTCCACAGTGTGCCCATTTCAAAAGGGTACGTCCATGTGTAAATACGATTTTTTTTTGATTTTGTAAAGAAATAAAAATAAAGAACAGATGCCACAGTGCAATGTATTTATTTATCACGCTTTTTGTAATAAAGAGAACTAAGTGTGAGAATTTGTCTTCATGTAATTGTTTACAATACTGTAAATAACTTTATTTTAGCTGGAATTAATTTTCACTGAATAGAATTTTGTATTTTGTTTTGTATGGAGGTTATTTTCACTGATTTTTGGTGAGTTGAATGTAAAATATAGGAACTTTAGCATTTTATTTTCACTGACTCGGCGAAAATAGCAAAAATTAATTCAAAGTAAAAATAAAGTATTCTACAGTATTGTCAATGCCTATGATAGTTTATATAAGTGATACATACAACAGCCTGTTAAGGCGCTCTGTTTAGTTTTATAAGTCTCATTTCTGCTACATAGAAATCATCCAGATGGATGACTGGTCTTTCTCAGCAACAAGTTTATGTTTAGAAGCTCGTTATAAAGTGAGCACAGATCGAAACAAGACATTGAACTGAAATTTGTTTCATTGGAGTAACCATGCAAAAGTGGGCTGATATTTTTCTTGTTTCCCAGCACTGAAACTAAATTGTTAGTCTAAAGTAGCAAACTTTTAAAAAAATCTAGGATTTTCCCCCAGCTTTCCTACAAATATGGACATCCAATATGTGCAGTGGCACTATAGAGGGTTCGATAGGGGTCTGAATCTGTTATCACGATCATGACAATCCAACCAAAACTCAAAATAAATGTACCTTGAATTCAGAGCTCGTACAATGGACGATGCGACAGCTCAATGGGGAGTCAGTCTATCTCGAAAAGGATGTCGCCAATTGGCTTTTTTGGCTAAAAGTTTTGCATTAGATCATGAATATTCATGAGTTGATCATTGGGTCATGAATATTCACAAGTTGATCATTGGGTCATAAATATTCACGAGTTGATCATTAGGTCATGAATATTATGTTGATCTTTTATAGATAAATCGTGCAATGCAATTTTATGACAATGACTACCGGTAAACATTTTTAGGTCAGCTCACGCATTGTAATAACATTCTAGAATTAGAGCATATTCATTTGAAAACAAGTCAAGTTTCCCCTTTTCCCAATACAAACTTTATGCAGAATTGTTGACATGACTCGCTAAATGTCTTCAAAAGTATGAGAATTTCCCCCAAACATAAATCTATAGATGGTTTTGGGCGGGGAGGTTTCAAATCAAATAATAGCCATTCAAGAACTGATCTGAACATAAAATGGTTCCAATGATATGTCAATATCATTTTATATCTTGGGTTTTATCTGATACAAAAACACAATACACCATGGTAGTTTTAAAGTTCTGTTCCTCTTTAATATTTCTGCTGCTCACATCGCATATTTAGCATGCACAGTTCATCAGACACTTTACTGAAGGAAAACAGGCATCTATGCTTTTTGACAATATTTGTAAGCTTCTCTTCTCAAATCAGTTTAATGTGGCGTGGCGTAATAACAAACCATACAAACTGACCTATTGAGGTAGTACGATAACAAATAGCGAACATTCACTCCAGTGTGACCACAATATATTCTACAAATATACCATATTTAATGTATTAGAAATGCATCTACAATACTTTCAATAAGTTAATTTTGACCATACATGCACCACTGTCATTTACAAAAGCACAATAATATTAAGTTGTGCTACTAAATAGAGCAAAGATGGTATTTTAATAAGTATGAAAAACAAAACATATACATATTTCTCAAAACTACCAGGGGTATACACTCGTAACTTAGAATTCTAATTGCCCATTCTTGTTTGGCAGTTGCATTGTATAGCTGTTCCAGATTTTATTTTAATCGCAGTGGTCCATGGGCTGGTGTTTATTTTCTATTACTGTAGTTGCTCTATCAGAAGCCCATCTCCAATAGAAAATGAACCAAAACACCAATTTGTCAGTTGTGTCGAAGTATATACATGTATACAAGGCAGAATTGGATTTGTTAAAAAAACATGTTAACAAATAAGCTGCTTTCTGATTCGTAGGTATTATGAATTGGGCAGCCAATCAAGTACTACTTTAGTAGCTTCATACTTGATGGGATTTTAAGTACAATAAATTCACTCTGACCCATTTATACTATTTCATTGGATCGTTTACATATGCAAATGTGTTTCTAATAGAGCAAATACGGTATGTAATGTAAATACTCCTCTACTCTGATATTAAGATAAATTTTCTAATTCTAAATTTACAGTCATGTAAATCAGCTTGGTAAGTGCTACTTTAAAACAATCTATCCACACTAAATATAATAATACACTATTTCAATTTTCATAAAATTATATTATCTTTATAAAATGCCAAGACTGAATATCAAATAATTCATAATATATGTGACATGAATATGCAAAACTGAATTACTGGTAAGCAGACAAGGTCATGAACAATTCTGCTTAGCACAAAACTATTATCTCAGATACAGTGTAATAATAATAATATAATAATAATAGTTTATATTTCGAGAACCAGCTCATAACAAAAAGTTGAAAGTTACTAAAAACACAACAGCAAAACAGAAATTAGAAATAAGGTGCCTTATAAATATCAGAAAAGACACTTTTTCAGTAGTTGCTGTCCCTCAACATGTCGATAGACATGGCTGCCACAATTAAACAATTCTCACTAGAAGTCAATCTTGTGTAAAAGCCAGCCCTGGACTTGCGCAAAATACTTGAAAAAGTGGGAACACCATTTAAAATCCGAGTTTCAGAAATACTCAAGTTACGTTTGACATAAAATATAATGCAGAAAGCGTTGTTATAACCCGCACAGCATTCAGATTAGCTTTGGAAAATACAGCCCATAAATGCGAACAATAAATCGTTGAACAGAAAGTTTTATTTAGCTGGAAGTTAAAATCATCAATACAGTGAGTCATAGGCTTATTTTAAATCTGAAAAAGATGATTTTGAATTTTATTTAAAGTTTTATGAGGTTTTCTCAAATAGGGCAAAGTTTTGGGTCATCAGTAAAAATAGGGTTGGCTGGGCTATTTTTTTTTTCTTGGCTGCATATGAGAGGTGATCAATAAGTTCTCGGCCTTCCTCATAAAATGTTACAGAAGGAAGATTTCTCTTACAAGTTATTTTTCAACAAAGTCCCCTCTAAGTTCAATGCACTTTGTCCATCAATGTTCCAGTTTTCCTATTCCCTGCTGGAAGAAGGTTTCATCCTCATCCTTTAGATAGGCATCAACAGTTTGAATGACATCATCATCAGTCTCAAAACGGTGACCACGCAAAATGGACTTCAGTTTAGAAAACAGGTAGAAGTCTGACGGTGCCAGGTCAGGTGAGTAGGAAGGGTGAGGTAAGAGTTCAAAGTCACATTTGGTTGCTGCTGCCACTGCCACTTGTGCTGTGTGAACAGGTGCATTGTCCTGGAGCAACAACACACCAGTTCGAAGCTTTCCTCTCTTTTGCTCTTTGATTGCTAAACTGTCACAGTTCTGAAGCGTAGTACTCTGCATTGGTTGTTTGACCCTTTTGTAAGTAGTCAATCATGATGACTCATTAGCTGTCCCCGAACACAGAGGCCATCACCTTGCCGACTGATGCTACTCGCTTGAACTTTTTTGGCGGCTGTGAACCCTTGTGTGTCCATTGTTTGCTCTGCTCTTTTGATTCTGGATCAAATTAGTGAACCCATGTCTCATCTTAGGTCACAGATCTCTTGAGGAAGTTGCCAGGATTTGACTGGAAACCAAAAGCGTCCTTGAAACTTCTAACCTGTTCAACTTCTGATGTGGAGCCAACATTCGGGGCACCCACCTTGCAGACAGCTTGCTCATCCCCCCCGAGATGTTTGACAAAACATTTTGAACTGCACCATAAATGATGCCTAGTGAATACCCGATATGTCAGATAGTGACACATCTCTCATTCATTACCATGATGGATGGCCTCAACCTGATTGTCCGGGATGGCATTTGGTCATCTTTTGTTCTTTACAGTGTCATGACCATGTCTTTGTGGATTCATTTTTATAGAGATATTGACCACAGCACAAGTTTCTGTCTGGTCAATTTTGTGTTTTTCGTCTCACCTGCTAATTTTAAATGGGCACCACATGCTAATTAATGAATACCTAAATTTGCATTTCTATAGGTAGTGACTTAAGGTAGCGAGACTATTATTTGCATACTTGTTTTCATCTTCTAATTGTGACTAAATGACTACAAATAGACCCGGGAAAGTATATATTTTTAGAATCGCCAGACTTCAAGCTTTTCACAAGTGTATTTTGCATGCCCGTATCTGCATTCTACGACGCGTTACTCAATCAAAGGTGAAAAATTACTTTTTCTGTAAAAAAAATAATTACGCATTTACACTGGCGATAAGAAGTATTTTTTTCACTTTTCCTAGTTGTTCAAATAGTCTGGTAAATTGA